GTGGAGCAGGGGCGGGCGCTCGCAGCCCTTCCAAACCCAGGACTAATGCGCGCTTCCCTCACTCCCCCAAACCTTGGCGATGGCAATAATAGTACCAATGATCAGAATGTTGATTAATTGTCAATGGTATAGCCCTGGCTGGTTTGGTTCAGTGGATAGAGGCTCGGTCTGCGGACTGAAGGATCCCAGGTTCGATTCCGGTCAAGGGCACATGTCCAGGTTGCGGGCTGGATCCCCAGTAGGGGGCGTGCAGGAGGCAGCCGGGAATGATTCTCATTATTGATGTTTCTCTCTCCCTTTCCCTTCCCCTCTAAAATCATAAAAAATATATATTTTAAAAAATAATCAACGTTATAATGAACCTCCTCTTTTTTTGGTCGCCTTGCCACGTTCGGGTAAATGTGGTACAGATTATTTCCCCTACTTAACCGACAAAGAAACCGAAGTTCGGTCGCCGGGAGAGAGAGAGGTGGGCTGCGACGACAATCGCGTGGCCAGGTGGAAGGGGGTCGCCGTGGGCGCGGGCACCGGAGTGGGTAAAGTGGGGAGAAACCTGGTGGAGGCAGGTGCGGGAACCTGGGACGGGGCCCCAGGAGGGGACGGGATGCGGGGAACCGCTGCCCAGGGGGCTGGGGGCTGTCCGGCCCGCGGAGAGCCGCCCGCAGAGGAACCTGGGGGCGGAGAGGAGGAGGTGCAGTGGGGGGTCGCTCCTGGGTCCGCGCGGCCGCGAAGCGTGAAGCGGGGTGGCGGGTGCCAGGCACTTTTCGGTTGGCCAGCTCCAGTCCGGGATCCCTCCAGACGGTCCCCAGATGAAGGGGGACCAGGATGAGGGAGGACAGAGCGGAGACTAGAGAATCGATTGGCACCTCCGCCCACCTTCCTCCCCGCCCGCGCCCCCCAGAAATCTTTTCTAGAAGGATTGGTTGAACAGGCTCCTGGATCCAAACTCCTTGAGGTGAGACGGGTTTCAGCTCTGTGTCCCCCGCACTCCTAACTGTATCTGGTCGAACCCCTCGATTTGCATCCAAGGTTGGAGACAGAATCAAGCTTGTTTAAGGAGGGTGGTCTGTAATTCTCATCTACGTCTCAGACTTCCCGCCTGTCAGTTGCTGTGAAAACAGTCGGGCGGGGTTTTTAAAGGTTTGGAGTTTCTTAATTACTTTACTGATGCATATTCTTTTAGTAGAAGCTTGTCTTAGGCCTGCAATGGCACTTTCCCTGCCCAGCACAAACCACAACCAAAAGGAAGACACTTTAGGGATACACTAACATACCCTGAAAGCAGGCAGAGAACTGTAAAACAAACTATAAAAGTCACTTTAGTGTCACTTTAAGGCACAAAGTACATAAAGGAAAAATTCCTTTAGATGAATGCAATAAATAAGATTATACTCTAGCTTCATATTGTTTTTATAAAAGAGAGAGACCACTCCGGTAGAAAAGAGAGAATAAAGCAAGAAAAAAAAAAAGGCGGGGAAGGAATAACTCAGTAGACAATGTGGGTAAAAGAGACTCAAAAGGGAAAAAAAATCCATAGGTCATTAATAATAGCTCAGACACAAACAGATATGTGTGTCTATACACATTTTAAAAAGAAAGGTAGAATATATAGAGAGGGGCGTAGAGAAAAGTAGAAATAGTGGAAAATAGAAACACAGAGACACTAATTCATAGAAAAATATTAAAATTTTATATTATAAAATTTCTGCTAAAGACTCAAATGTAACGTTTTGCAATTATAAATAATATTTGCAGATTTATGGATGGAATGAAATCATAGAAGAATAGAAGACTTTGGGGTTCAATAAACTTGTCTTAATCCCATTTCTGTTTCTTATGTGCTATTTGACTTTGGAAAATTAATTTCCCTGAGCCTCAGTTTGCTCATCCATATCATGGGGATCATTGTTTCTACTTCATGGACTTGTTTGAGCTTTAAATACGATGGAATGTAAGTCACTTAGCCCAGTGCCTCTCTCTAAATAAGTCATAGCTATTATTATTATTACTATTAGTTTATTTTAATCCTGCCCTTTGTCTTCTGGTAAATTAAGTTAAAGATTAGATTTCAATAGTAGTAGGTTCTCCCCTGACTTCACAGAACGCACCAGGTACTTAAAGCTTACAAATTCTTGGCAAGTCTAAAATAAACTGTACTTTTTTTTTTTTAAGGGGATTTATATCTTTGGGTGAACTGCAGGCACCCAATTACAGTCAAGATAAACAGTATGGCCTGAAAAGCCCTTGCAAATAAGAGATCTGCAGAAGCAAAAAGGAAGAGAGTGCACTGTCGTTCTCCCTGGTCGCTGTTAATTATAGAGGTAAGATCAGGTTCCTCCTTAGTAATAATCAACATCCGTATAGCACCTGTTGGTTTACAGCGTCCTTTTCACATCATCTGACTCACATGGGCTGATTTCTTTTCCCCCATCTTCCTTCCACTTGACCTCCAGTCATTTTTTTTTTCAGTTTGCAAAAGGGGCAGTCAGAAATGTCAATAGAAAAGTCCACGTTAAATAGCTAGCGTGACGCCAGCAGGGCCTTAAAGGTCAAGCTGAAGGTAATTGCCTCATCACTGTGACCTGCTTCTGACCTGATCACACAGGACGGTCATCGGGCAGGCCAAGGACCTGTGGCTCCGAACTCTCGGGTAAACAAAAAAGTGCTAGGTCTGGCCTAGAGAGAGGACACAGTTCACAGCCCTTTCTGTTAGTATTTGTCCAAGTGGGTGGGAAGGAGGTGGAATAAAATTGAAATATCTGAGAGAATCTGTCTAAATTTTCATTTGCATCTGGGAGATAAAATTCTTTACCTCATATTGAGGGAATCTGAAAATGCATTTTTTTTGAGTTTGTAAGAGTTGTTGAGAAATTCAAACCCAAACTTCATCGAATAATATCTGGCCAATATTGTTATCATTCCATTTATGTAGCGCTGGAGGACATTATGAAACTCCACTCATCTTTCTCTGCTTCCCAGAAGCTTGGAATGATAAGGATCTGCACTAAGTTGTATCAGATTCCCCAAATTGCATTGACATTGCAATGACCCTGGTTTCAAGAACTTTAATGCAGAGTTTCTCACAAAAGCTAGTTGTCAGTTATCCCTCCTATTCTTTTCAAATGCTGGTAGTTATTCACAAGACAAGAAAGAGGACACACCCAGATATCTACCTTGAAGATCATATGAGCAATTATATTTCCCTATCAGCCTGCTGTGACTAAGTACTTTGCATACGTTATCTGTGTTTGAAATTTGCAACAAGCCTGTAGGAAAGGTGATAGAATCCATACTTGACAAAAGAACCTAAGGTGCGCTGAGTTCACTGGAGAGGCTTAAAGAAACAAAGAGCTGATAAGAATCACAGGCAGGATTCAAAGCTGACCCCAAAGGCCAGGTTCTTTCCACAGATGCTTCTCCTATTATGATACCTATCAAAGGACCTCACTCAGTGACCACATGTAATTGCATAATGTTAGAGGAATACAAAAATTTTAAAAAAATCAACCTGCATGGTACTTGCAGGAAAGAACAGTGTACTTTACATTTAGGTTCCTGAGATGTCTAATAAATATCTCAGATTTAGCAAGTCCCAAACTGAAGCTTTGATCCTGCCAACTGTTCCTTTCCCCACAGCCTTCTCTGTCTCTACTGGTGGCAACTCCATCCTTTCTTTCCTGGGCTCTTTATCTCATACCTCACATCCAAACCATCAGCCAATTCTGTAGGTCTAATTTCCAGATTTATCTAGAATCTGACCACCTCTCACCACTTCCACTACTATCCTGAGACCCCATTATCTCTTGCTTTCCCTGCTGGACTCCCATCTCCTTCTATAGTCTTTTCTCAGCTCAGCAGTCAGAGTGATTCATTTTACGATTCTCATTTCCCTGAATCAGGGGTCCTCAAACTTTTTAAACAGGGGGCCAGTTCACTGTCCCTCAGACCGTTGGAGGGCCGGATTATAGTTTTAAAAAAAAACTATGAACAAATTCCTATGCACACTGCACATATCTTATTTTGAAGTAAAAAAAAACAAAATGGGAACAAATACAATATTTGTATTTGTATGTGGTTTGCAACCACACAGCAGCAGTTTAAATCCCTGATTGTTCTAAGCTCTTTATCTTCTTCAGCTGACGGAAGGTGGACTTGAATATGTATTTTAGATGTGAATTTTCAGTCATGTGCTATGGAGTTCAACATTTTCCCTCTCCTTTGATACTGAGCCATTGTGTAGTCACCATGCTATTTTTATTTTGCACAACAAAGACGCCAGCTTTGTTTTTTTTTTTTTTTTTTTTTTTTTTACTGGTTGGTGCATCATATTGGTTTAGTTCAGAGCACTTTATAATCCCTTCCTAGGAATAGCTGATCTCTTCTTCTCTCATATATTCTTCGCCAATCAGTTCATTAATCAGTAGGGGGGTTAACATATATAGAAGTACAGAAATATAACAATTTTTAGAGACTATTCATCCTATTTACATGTTCTATGAATTACTGGAGAGGTGGCATTAGAACAGATACCTGCGATTAACAGTTGGCGAAGAGGAACGGGAACATTCACTTTTTCTATGAGTGAAAAAGTGTCAGAACCCATGATAAGGTGCTTATTGCAGATAGACTTAATGAATAAATGGAACAGGAGTGAGGATGGGGAGGAGAGTGAATTCAGATGGACGGAAGGATTGAAGGAGCAAAAGTAGGATAAGAAAGAGGTGAGCAGAATCTTAGGAGTGGAGATAGGTGCAAAGTGGAAATTTAAGAAAATCTCCTACGAGACTCAACCCAACAGATTGTCAATCAATTTTTCTCACCAGCCCTTTTTACTCACATCGATATTTCCCTCTCTCTTCCACTCTCTCTAAAAATCAGTGAAAAAATATCCTTGGGTGAGGGTTAAAAAGAATAAATAAATAGCATTGCAATAAACATTATTGTACATACTTTTTGCCCACTGATCTGATTATTTTCTTGCGATAAGTTCCTAGAAGTAGAATTGCTGGGTCAAAGACTTTGTGTATGCACTGCTTTTAAAAGCAATAAAGCCTACGCCCTGGCCAATGTTGCTAAGTGGTTAGAGCATTGGCCCACACACTGAAGGGTCTCAAGTTTGATTTCTGGTCAAGGGCACATACCTGGGTTGTAGGTTCGGTGTTTGTGTAGGAGGCAACCAATCCATGTGTCTCTCTCACATTGATGTTTCTCTCCCTCCCTCTCTTCCACTCTCTGAAAATCAATGGAAAAAATATCCTCGGGGGAGGATTAAGTAGAAAATAAATAATAAGATAAAGCCTATTTGGGAGTTACTGGCAGTTGAATTTAGTGACTTTATGCAAAGTTTATAGAATTTTTAAATGTATTTTCTTTTCTTGGACAGGACCAGGAGACAAAATGTCATCATACCTTTGGCCGATATCACTGATTTCTGAAGGTGAGGAAAAAATCAGTCCATGGGTTCTTGCTTTGTGCCTAGTACGGTTAGTCTCCATAGCGGGCTGGGAGAGTAAGAAAAGGAGCGTGCTACCCAGTAATCGTCAGACATGGTCTCTACGCAAAGAACTTATAAACTACCTGCTAAGAAAGTTCTCTTCTACTTCTCAATTCGCAAACCACATTAAACTGCTGCATTTAGCAAGATCGCCAGTCTTTCATGACATAAAACCATTAATTTAATTATTTGTTACTAGAGGCCCGGTGTACGAATTCAGGGTGGCCTGTGGGGAGCGGGCCCCAGCTCGTGCCCCTAGCCTCACAGCCCCGCAGCCCCATATCCCTGCCTGGCACCCCACCTTGGCCTGGCACAGCCCATTCACTTGCCCCACCATCCCACCCTCGTCCGGGCCCATTGGGGCTGGCAGTGCCTCCACTGCCACTCGCAGCCAGTGCCGCATCACCAGTGCCAGCCATGTTACGCACCACCCCCTGTTGGTCAGCGCATGTCATAGCGAGGGGTCAAACTCCTGGTCAAACAACCACCTGAGGGGACAATTTGCATTATTAGGCTTTTATTATATAGGATGATAAATGAAATGCATAGCTATGCTTTATGAAAATCTGTCCTCTTCTTTCCTTCCCCAACCTTTCCCTTCTTACCCTTCCACTTCTTTATAAGTATTCAAGGAATTAGTATTTATCAGTATATAATAAAAACTTTTTTTCACTTATAAATTTGTCAAAGATTTTTAAATTGGGTAACACCAAGTTTGTTATGGGTAACAGGCCCCCTATAGGAATTCTCTTTGAAGGAAATTTGGCCTGATCTGTATTTAGAATGCAAAGATTTGGCTGCAAATGATAGAAAATATGAGAAACAACAGGGTTTAAACATGATGGAAGTTTATTTCTCTCTTAGGTAGCAAAGTCTGGACCTAAGCATCCCAGGGTCCATATTGCTTTCATCAGGGCTGGGCATCTTCAAGCTGTCGCTGGCCTGTATCCTTGATCCTGGGTGGCTGCTTCTGTGCCAGCGGTCACACCCACCCATATTCCCGCCAGCTAGGAGGAGAAAAGGGGAGGGGAGAAGCATGTCCCTCCCTTTTAGGACACTTCCTAGAAGTTGCACTCACTACTTCTCCTGACATCCCCTTGCCCAGAACTTGGTCTGATATGGCTATATCCAGCCCCAAGGGAGATTGAAAAATATAGTCTCTACTCTGGGTGCCCATGTGCCAAGTTAGAATTACAGGCTCTATTCCTATAGAATAGACCACCAAATTGTTATTTTTTAAATATACTTTTTATTGATTTCAGAGAAGAAGGCAGAGGAAGAGAGAGATAGAAACATCAATGATGAGAGAGAATCATTGATTGGCTTCCTCCTGTATGTCTCCTACTGGGGATGGAGCCCACAACCTGGGCATGTGCCCTGACTGGGAATTGAACCGTAACTTTCTGGTTCATAGGTCAATGCTCAACCACTGGTCAGGCCCATCAAATTATTTGAAAAGAATTTCAATAGAGTGTTGGAAAATTTCCTAAGGTATATTGGAACCGATCTCCCAAGGAGGACAGGCTAAGATTAAAAATAGAGGCTGACGCCCTAACTAGTTTGGCTCAGCATTGGCCTGCAGAGGGTCCCGGGTTTGATTCCAGTCAAGGGCAGGTACCTTGGTTGCGGGCACATCCCCAGTAGGGGGCGTGCAGGAGGCAGCTGATAGATGTTTCTCTCATCGATGTTTTTAACTATCCCTCTCCCTTCCTCTCTTAAAAAAAAATCAATAAAAATTTTTTTTTAAAAAATAGAGGCTGACAACTCCAGAATTAAACAGTTTATTAAAGGAACTTATGGACAGAAAAGAGTCTTGGGCATCAGCAAAAAAATGGATCTCTGCACCCAGAAGGGGATGGGGGCTTGATGTATGCAGCCTCCAGGAACCCAGGTGGTTTGTAGGTCAGTGACTTGTGCTTGTTATAAGGTGTATTTTCCAAAGCATTAAACAACTTAAGGGACCTACTTAGTGGACCTTCCAGATGATGAAGGCGAACCCCCTCCAGGGTGAACTGTTGTTTTCTGAGAGCAACTTGCTTCTTAAGATGGCCTTGGGCATGGCAAGCACCAGAAACCACTTTGCCTAACATAGGGCCATGTCGGCAATTTAGTCGGCAGATGTGTTTGCATAACTACTTAAAGGTGTTAACAAGAATAGTCATCTCAGCATTGTTTATAATAGCAAAAGGCCGGGATCAACCATATTGATATGGGATTAGTTATGTAAAGTATGATGCATCCAAGAAGTGGGGTACTAGATAGCTATTCCTTTTTTAAAAATATATTTTTTTTATTGATTTCAGAAAGAAAGAGAGAGGGAGAGAGAGATAGAAACATCAATGATGAGAGAGAAATTATTGATCAGCTGCCTCTTGCATACCCCACACTGGGGATCAAGCCCGCAACTTGGACATGTGCCCTTGACAGGAATCAAACCTGGGACCATTCAGTCTGCAGGCCAATGCTCTATCACAGTGAGCCAAACTGACCAGGGCACTATTCCTTTTTAATGAGAAAAATATATAAATGCTGATGTAAAAAGAACTCCTAAATATATTCCTAACTAAAACAAACACAAGGGACTTTTGGATCCAAGATGGCAGCATAGGTTAACACCGGAGATTGCTGCCTCGAACAACCAATTCAAATTACACCTAAAAGACGGAACAGACATCATCCAGAACCACAGGAAGGCTGGCTGAGTGGAAATTCTACAACTAGGAGGAAAGAGAATATCATACCCAGACTCAGAGGAGGCGCAG